TCCTGTGGAGGGGGGCGGGGTATGGGGGGCTCTGCTCTGACTCCTGTGGAGGGGGGCGAGGTATGGAGGGCTCTGTCTTGCCCCCCAGGCTCAGCAGAGGCCGCCCTCCTCCCCCCACGTCCCAGCCCTGCCCCCCTTAGTGACTCCTGCGCTGGCTGGCCACACATGGTCTGACATGCAGTCCTCAGGTGTCAGTTGAGCAGATGCTTGACCCTCAGCCCCTAAGTCTCTCTAGGTAGTGAACCAAGGAGCTCTGCCCCCACCTTCAGGAGGAAGAGACCCAAGTCGGCGCCCTCCATGACCTAAGAGCGGGGCCAGCAGTGCCTCCCTGTCCTGGCGGAGGCAGAGAACCTCCCAGCTTTAGAGCCACCTTGTCCCAGGGCGGGTCTGCCTCCCTCTGGCAAATCCCTGGGCTCGGGTTTCCTCCTCTGTAAATGGGCACAAGGAGAGTCCCTTAAACGCCCAGTGTGGACCCAGCTCCAGGCCTTTCCTTTCTCCCTGGCGTACTCTCCACCCTCACGCAGGGCCCACGGCCACTTTGGGACACGGTGAACTCCCGCACTGCTGTGGCGGTGGGCGGAGAGAAATGACGCGTGGGCGGAGGCGGCCACAGCCAGAGACTGCCCGCCCTCCTGCTGCCATGAGGGCCTGTCCAGGCCAGCCCTGTGCTACTCCCAGCCCCGCTGTCCAGGTTCCACACACGCACCCCTCTTTTCTCCCGCCTGGAGGTCTGGGATCCATGGCCTGCCGAGACCCAGGCCCCTGCTCCCTCACAATCCCAGGCCACGCCAGCTGCCTACCAGAGTCCCCAGCAGGCTTGCGGGACTTGGCTTCCGTGAAGCTTGGCAGGGAGCAGAGCTCATGGGAACACACTCCCCCGGGTAGGCAGGCGCCTGCCCTGAACCCCCAACCCGGGCCCGTGTCCAGTACATCGGAATTGTCATCGCTTGCGTTGTTTTCTCAACCAAAGGCCTTGGAGCACGCTGAGGTGAAGCGATTGCTTTCCCTTCAAACAGATGCTGGGGTGGGAGGGGGCGCGATGGCTGGGGGTGCTGTGCGGGCACACAGACCTTGACCCAGAAATGTGCTGTGGCAAGATCAGAGGTCAGCCCTGGGTGGGGCTGGGGGTAGCTAGGCAGATACCCCAGGAGGAAGCAACACATGTTCCCCTCACTTGCCCCCATTCCCCATCAAGTAGGTTAGCGTTTAGGGAACAGAGCCTGAAAAGCGCTCGAACCCAAAACTGCTGATGCTATTAAGGCCCAAAGTTAACAAAACCAAGCTTTGGAGCCCTGTCTGGAGTGTAATTCATTATTTGTTAAACAAAATGATGGTTACTAGAAGCAAATCGGCAGGAAGGAGAACCTAAGTCCCAGCTTGGCCTCAGAGGCCCCCGCCACTCCCCACCCAGCCCTGCACCTCCGCACACACACTCAGCTCACCCATGGGGCCTCCCCACGTGGCCATGGCATTCACACGCCTACTCACCCCCCACATGCTCCGGGCCAGCAGGGCCCCTCCTTCTCCCTTCCCATCCTTTCCCAGGGCTGGCATCTGCTCACATTACCAGGCTGGTGCAGACAGCCGTGCCCAGGAGCTGCTCCCAGGAGCCAGGCTGCTCTGTGGCTGGCGGGGAGGTGGGCACAGCCCCTCTCATCAAACACCAGGCAGGGCAAGGTCTGGCTGCCCCCATCGGTCCACTACCCTCCGGAAGTTTGTGGCACTCAAGGGCATCCTCTGCTGAGCCCCTGCCTGGAGCTGGGCACTGCGGACAGACTTGGCCCTCGTTCATAGCAGCAGGAAGAGGAGGAGGTGGTGGGACAGGAGGGGAGGAGAGAGGGAGAAAGAAATAGGAGCTTAAATTTAGTGCTGTTCTTCCCAAGCTGAGTTGCCTGGGCGGTATGTGAGGTCCCCCCACCTCCCCTCCCTAAAGACTAGAGCTGTCCATCCCTAGACCCGTCCGCCCAGGAGAGAAAAAAGTACCTAGTTTAGAATTTTCTGGAGGTGTCCCACTGCTAAGCCCAGAGGCCAGAGGAAAATGGCCGTGTTTCCACCTGAGTGTACCTGGGTCCTTCTTAGATACCCCAAAACCTGGCGTTCCTGACAGGTCACTGGTCCCAGGTCCCTTCTCCTGTACACAGACCCTGTGAGGGACCCTGGGTGCTCAGCCCCCACCCGACTGCAGAGGACTCGCACATCTGCGGCCCTAGAGAGCAGGAGCGGAGAGGGGCAGCGGGCGGTACCCAGGGCAGAAGGATCGAGCCCATCGATAGTGACCTCAGCTGGAGGTGACTCCCCCAACCTTCTGTGAGAGCTCACTGGAGGACAGGCGTGAGGGAGAGAGAAATCTGGAGGCCCAGTGTGGGAGTGAGAGAAACTTGTGGAGAGGGGCCTGGGCAGGGGTCAGGGGAAAACACGTTAGAGAAATTAAGAGAGAAAACAGCCTCCCCGGCTGGCGGCTGGCTGGGCTGCCTGCCTCCCGCAATGCAGCCCTAATTGAATTTCTCTGTTAACAATGGAAACACCTCAGCAGTCCGGCCTCTCTCCCTCTTTCTGATAAGCCAGTGACCCGAGGGAAATTGGGGTCAGGAGGAGGAGAAATTGGAAACAAACAGTCTTTTCTCACTGCTGGGGACACTGGTTTTGGCTGGGGCCCAAGGAGCTGGAGGAGGGCTGACAACTCCCCGTCTGTTTCCTCTGTGGAGCTGACCCTCCCCTGCATGGCCCCAGAGCCCTGGGTCCTGTGGCTGAGGGAGGGGGCGGAAAGCATCCTCTTCTTGAAAGGGGGCCCCCCAACCCAGTTTAACCCAGTCAGGGGTAGAGCAGGTGCCAGACACCCGTGTCAGGCCAGCTTCCTCTCTGTGGGTCACGCTCTCCCCACCACTAAAGTCTTCCTGTGGCAGGTGCACTCCCGGCCCCAGTACCCTGAATGCTCCTTGGATCCAGACAGCCCTGGTGCCTACATCAAGCTGCTCCTCTCTGAGCCTCTGTTTCCCCATCCACAGACTGGGAGCAATACAGTCTGGGGGTGTGACTTGAGGAAGCAGGGACTCTACGGTGTGGAAAATTCTTGCTAAGCCCCAGGGGTCTATTATCATGCTCCATAATTGCAGTAATTATATTGTTAATAGCTGTTATTACATTATCACAGCCAGAATCTACCTGCTAACCCCCAGGGAGGTGAGCCGGATCCTTCCTCACCCACAGAGCCCCCAAAGTGCACCTGTCTACCCACCCCGTCAGCCAGGGTGGTGGAGGCCAGCCCCGACCCAAAGCTTCCCCATGCTGTTGCTTCTGAACAGCAGGAACCCCATTTAGCGATATTTCTTTAAGCGACTCGGGGAGACAGGACTTAGGTAACAATGTAATGAATGGAAGTGCTGAGGCAGGACTGTGTCCCCCTGGGACACCTCTAAGAGCTCCCTCTGGGCTGAGGGCACGCTGGCCTCCTGCCAGACGGAGCGCAAGGACCTCACACCCTGTGCGAGGCCCAGCGTGGCCCTGGGCCCTGGCTACCCGCCCCTTCCACCGCCAGGGCTGCCCGCCATGGAGGTCCGGATCAACGTGTCGAGGCAGCAAGTGGAGAAGGTGTTTGGGCTGGAGGAGTACTGGTGCCAGTGCGTGGCCTGGAGCTCCTCGGGCACCACCAAGAGTCAGAAGGCCTACATCCGCATCGCCTGTGAGTCCAGGGCGCGGTCGGGGTGTCCCCAGGGAGGCATGCAGGAGGGCCCCATCAGAACGCCTCAGGTCCTGTTTTGATGGGTGGAGGAAGAGCCTGTGGATGCTACCCAGGCACCTCTAGGTCCCCTGGGCACATGGCACCTCCTTTTCCATGTGTTCTGGCCCCTGCGGGACTGGGAGATGGACCCAGCCAGGCAGAGCTGACTTGAGGCTCTTGGCCTGGGGGACACGCTTGTTCTTCTCCCAGATCTGCGCAAGAATTTCGAGCAGGAGCCATTGGCCAAAGAAGTGTCCCTGGAGCAGGGCATCGTGCTGCCCTGTCGCCCACCAGAGGGCATCCCCCCAGCTGAGGTGAGAGGGGGCTCCACTCCACAAGTGGGCAGGGCGCTCAGGTCTCCGGTTCCACCTGTCCACCCCCCAAGGCCGGACCCTCCCCACCAGGGGTCACTCACTCCATCAGGCAGCAGTGGCGTGCCTCTCCCCCAGGTGGAGTGGCTCCGAAATGAGGACCTGGTGGACCCGGCCCTGGACCCCAATGTGTACATCACCCGGGAGCACAGCCTGGTGGTGCGACAGGCCCGCCTGGCCGACACAGCCAACTACACCTGTGTGGCCAAGAACATCGTGGCGCGTCGCCGCAGTGCTTCCGCCGCTGTCATCGTCTACGGTGGGCCTCCTCGATGGTGGACAGGGGCCTCTGGCTTAGGGAGAGGACGGAGGGGCCGGCATAGGGGCAGTGAGGTGTGGCCAGCTGGTGAGAGAGCCATGCGACAGAGCCAGGAGGGCCAGACGGTGGTCTGACCAGGAAGGAAAGGGAGAGAGCTGGCTGTGGCCATGGGGGGGCCGAGGGGCATGTCTGAGGGGTGGGGCAGGCCGGGGTCATCCGTGGCCAGACCATGGTCTAGCTTACTAGAAGGCTGTGGGTAGGGGGAGCTGAGGGGCCAGCGTGGGAATCTAGGAAAGGCAAAGCATACCCGTGCTCCTGTGCCCTGGCCCCCCAGGTGGGTCGTAGTTCCATGGGCACCCCCAGGAGCTGGCAGCGGGAGGGGGCAGGAGTAGCCTTTGTGAAAGGCCAGGGGTCTGTGCCAGGGGAGAACGGGAGCGGCAGTTAGGGCCGGTGGCCCCAAATGTCCACAGCACCCACTGGGAGAAGGGCCTATAGAGTGGGTGCTGCTGGGCCCTGGGGGCAGTGGGCACCAGTGTGGCCCCCCAGGGGCCTCTCTTCCAGCACAGCCCCAGCCAGCCCGTTTCCAGCCTAAGCCCCTCCGCCCTGGCGCCCCGGCCCCAGGCCAGCGTGTCTGAGGAAACCCCCGCTCCCTGACCCAGTCCTTCTCTGTCCGGCCAGTGAACGGTGGGTGGTCGACGTGGACCGAGTGGTCCGTCTGCAGCGCCAGCTGTGGGCGCGGCTGGCAGAAACGGAGCCGGAGCTGCACCAACCCGGCACCTCTCAACGGGGGCGCCTTCTGTGAGGGGCAGAATGTCCAGAAAACAGCCTGCGCCACCCTGTGCCCAGGTACCAGCGGCCACCGCCTCCCGCATCGCTCCTCTCCACACCATCTCCGTGTCCTGGCTCCATCTCGCCCACCAGCCTGCCCCCCATGGCTCCATCCCACCAGCCCGCACACAGAGCCAGGCTCAGCCAAGGATGGGGTTCAGTGTGATCGGAGGCAGGACTTGGTCTGGGTCCCAACTGAGTCACAGGGTCTGAGGTGTAGTCGGGACAGGTACATCAGTGCAAGTCAGGGCCCAGCCGGGGGCCGCAGGGCCACCTGTGCTGGGACCCAAAGTGTCCTCTATGATGAGCTCTCTCACAGCCCGGGGCCAGGGCGCCCTCTGGAGTGGGTGGAGCCAAGCAGGCCCGGCCTCATTGTGCCTCCCGCCATTAGCATGCATCATCCAGGCCAGCTGGACACCAAGGACGTGGAGACTGGCTACTGGGCCCCGGTTCCAGCATTGTGCCGGGTCCAGACGTCCAGCGGGGCCGCATCAGCAGCCTCCGGGGCTGCTTCCTGGCTGACGGCACTGTCTATCTTGTGTCTAGTGGATGGCAGCTGGAGCCCATGGAGCAAGTGGTCAGCCTGTGGGCTTGACTGCACTCACTGGAGAAGTCGGGAGTGCTCTGACCCAGCACCCCGAAATGGAGGCGAGGAATGTCAGGGTGCTGACCTGGACACCCGCAATTGTACCAGTGACCTTTGTGTGCACAGTGAGTCCTTTCCTTCCTGGGAGTCCATGTCTCTTCACGGGGATTGGCCCTGACCAGTCCAGGGAGGTGGTAGCCAAGGAAAAAAACCATCCTCAAGATCCTCCCCTCCCTTGCACACATGCCCACACACTCCCCAATACCTGCTGCACCTCCCCGAGACAACAGGCTGCACCCATTTCCCCAGGAAATCAACTCCCAGACACGGCCCCTGCGGCTCTGCCTCGCAGGGCCCCCAAGTGCAAGTCCTGTCGGGACTCCAGGCTTCTGAGGCCTGTTAATTACAAGGCCATAACTAACAATTAAAGATCTCCGTTGGATTTTTTTCTCTAGAACACACCCTCCCCCAGTCTTTCAATTAAAAACCTAATTATCTGTGTCAATTCCTTTCTGATGGACATTTCTTCCATTATGCAAAGCCCTTCTAAAATCAATATAACTTCCTCCAGGAAGTCAGTCACCCCCTACAGACCTTGCCCAGGCCTCAAGGAGGGAGCCAAAGAGAAGAGCCTTAGAACCCCTATCCCTGGACCAGGAACCACAGTGTCCACCCTTCTAGCCCCAAGGAAGCAGATCTCCTGTTTTGAGGATCCTTGGAGCTCACCCTAGTCCCAGCTGCCCTGTGCCTCAGAAAAGCAGGTTCAGCCCACACCAGGCCACCCTGGGGAGTGGCTCTTCCCCCTCCATGTTATCTGGCAGCAACCTCAGTCTGAATTGAGCCCTGGAGGGATGCGACTCTTCTCAGAGTGACCAGCAAGGTGGTGGCGGATGCAGGGCTAGGAAGCCAAGGACTGCGGTGCTCCCCACCACCGCATCCACGCATCCACCCCCCCCCCCCAGTGCCGATCCCCAAGGGGTGGAGGCCTCATCCCTCTGGGTATAGACCACTGCCCTTGCCTTCCCAAGGGTGGAGGCCTCATCCCTCTGGGTATGACCGCTGCCCTCACCTTCCCAGCCTCCCGTGCCTTGCCCCTCCCAATGCCGCTCTCTCCTGCAGCTGCTTCTGGCCCCGAGGACGTGGCCCTCTACGTGGGCCTCATTGCCGTAGCGGTGTGCCTGCTCCTGCTGTTGCTTGTCCTCATCCTTGTTTATTGCCGAAAGAAGGAGGGACTGGATTCGGACGTGGCCGACTCATCCATTCTTACCTCAGGCTTCCAGCCTGTCAGCATCAAGCCCAGCAAAGCAGGTGTGTGGGGAGGTGGGGGGGAGCGGGTGGGGGGTTATCCCCAGCACTCGTGCGCAAGCCCGGGGCAAGGATGACCCTGTCAGGGCCACCCTAGCCCCACTCCCTGAGTCTGTCTCTGTCCTTGCAGATAATCCCCACCTGCTCACCATCCAACCAGACCTCAGCACTACCACCACCACCTACCAGGGCAGTCTGTGTCCCCGGCAGGATGGACCCAGTTCCAAGTTCCAGCTCACCAACGGGCATCTGCTCAGCCCACTGGGTGGTGGCCGCCACACGCTGCACCACAGCTCGCCCACCTCTGAGGCCGAGGACTTTGTCTCCCGACTGTCCACCCAGAACTACTTCCGCTCCCTGCCCCGCGGCTCCAGCAACATGGCCTATGGGACCTTCAACTTCCTCGGGGGCCGGCTGATGATCCCTAATACAGGTGGGAAGGACCCCAGGGTGCCCTGGGGAGCTCTGAGAGGCTAGCCCAGAGAACAGGACGGCCCCAGTGTTCCTCCTCTGCTTCTCAGCGGCAGCCAAGTGACTAAGGCAGGCCAGCAAGGAAAGGGGATCGAGCTGGGGACTGTCAGTCGCAGTGGCGACTGATGTAAAGTGTCGGGACTGCTGTCCACTCAGCCAGTCGGCATGGGCCTGCCCCTGGGCCCAGAGGGAGGGCTGGGGCACACTCCAACGAGCTGGGCTAGTGGAGAGATGGCAGAGAATGTGCCTAAACAGGGGACTGTTCCACCTGCCACCTCACAGAAACACCTGTGTCGGGGTTGCCAAGAAAATGGGGGTCACCGGGGCCTCCCGCTCTTCACTTGCCTGCTCACCCTCACCCTGAAAGAACTCACAGGCCCTTTTCCTGTTCGTTTTTCCGGAAGTACCTCGTCCTCCAGGGTGGCTGCCCACTCCTACCCTGAAGTTCCCTCTTCCCTCAGCGTAGAGGGCTCCGAGTGGCCCTTTACTTTGCCCCTCCAGCTGCCCCCAGTGTCTGCCCCTGCTACGGGTAGGTATTTCTCAGAGCTCCCTCCTGGCCCCTCCTGCGCCAGCCATCTCGCCCACTCCATGGCTGTGGCCAGCGTCGGCAGCTCCCTCCCACTCCTCCATCCACCGCCAGTTCTCCTGGGCAACAGAGCTGCGCACCCAGCTGCCTCCTGGGCAGCTCCATCTGGATGTCTCATAGCACCTCAGATTCCTCATGCCTAAAACAGCACCGTCTCCCACCCTCCCCCAGAACCTCTTGCTCCCCCTCTTTCCCCCTCGGGGACAGCACCACTCTCAAACCAGAAACCGGGGGTCACCTTAACCTGTTCGTCCTCACTCGCCCGCTCACCTCCGCACCAGGTGGGACCATGCCAGTCCCATCATCCTTCCTCCTCCACTGCTCCGGAGTCCTCCTGCCCCTCATCTTCCCCGCTGCCTCTCCTGGCCCAAATCGCCGCATCCACCTCTCCAGCATTCAGCCAGACTTGATCATGCCCCCCACAAAGCCTCTTCCGCGCCATGCTCCTTCACTGGCACATGTGGGATCTCAGTCCCATAGACACGCCATGCTGCCCCCTCGGTCAGCTCAGCAGCTCTTGCTCCCTTGGTGTTTGGCCTGGCAGCTCTATGCCTCATGTCCCCTTCCTTGCGATGCTATTGTGCCCCCAGCGCCACGTGGCTGCTGGAATGCGGTGAGATGTTGATGCCAAGCCCTGAAAAAGGGGCACAGTAGATACTCTGTGACCCTCAGTGAGTGACCGGCTCGCACCCGGTGTCCAGCGCCCTTCCCTTGCGTCCACTTGCCTCTCCCGCTTGCTGAGCGCTGCGTGAGCGTGAGCGCAGGGCCTGTGCCTTCCCTGCCTCTTGAGAGTGGGCATTAGCCGTCCCTGACTGAGTATGCAAGTGCGTGTGCCTGTCACACTTGGATCGCAGAGACTGTCACCAACACTGGCAGCCAGCACCAGGGATCGCAGGGACTGTCACCAACACTGGCAGCCAGCACCAGGAGGCAGCACGGGCTAGTGAAGGGAACAGCGACCACAAATGTGCCATCAGCGGCTTCAGTTCCCAGGAAGCGGTGACACTCCACCTGGCCCACCAAAGTCGCCCACCCAAGAACATGTATGCGCTTTTAGACTTGGTAGGGCAGAGTCACTGAATCTCTCCCCCTCTCCCCACTATGCAGGGACTCCAAGTACTACAAATGCAGGAAGGTGACACAGGACCACCCCACAGGGCAGATGAGGGGTCCTCATTGGATCCTGCTCACTGCCTCCCCCTCAGCAGGCACTTTTGATGCTGCCCCTACAAGACACTGGGGTGAATCTGCCAGGCAGGAGGACTCGTGCGCATTGGCCCCCCAGGACTGCGGGTGGTGGGCAAGGTTGTTAAAAGCTTCAGCCCCATCAGGGACCACTTCCACTCGGGAACAAAATTCACGGAGGTGCCCAGGAATGACAGCAGGTGGGAGGGCAGAGCACCCTGGCAGAGCACACTCAGCAGTGGTCCCCGGGTGGTCAGGGTGTGGGACAAGGGCTGGACTGGAGATGCCGCTGGAAAGGCCACGGGGGCCAGCGGCAAAGGGCTTTACGTACCAGGCCAGGGAGCCAAACCTCCTCTGAAGGCGGGGAATAAGTTTTGAGCAGAGGGGACTCTGGTGATGGGGCAGGTAGGAACAGCATGCCCAGCACCTGGGGTTCTGGAGATTCTGAGCCAAAGCTAACTGTACATGCTTTTCCCACCTGTGTTCCTCAGTTGCTCTGGGGCCACCCTGACTCAGCATCACGCCTGGGTGGGTGAGTAGACAGGTGGCATCTTGGCCCCCTCCAGGCTGGGGGCAGTCCTCAAAGAGAAGCTCGTGGACAGGCTGTCGAGTTGGTGTGTGGTGTCCCTGCAGCCCTGGTAAGCCTCTCCTTGTGCTCTTTCCCAGGCATCAGCCTCCTCATCCCTCCAGACGCCATCCCCAGAGGAAAGATCTATGAGATCTACCTCACGCTGCACAAACCGGAGGATGTGAGGTGTGGGTATAGGCCCCTCTGCCGGGCTGGGCAGGTCCTGTTTGCTGCTTCGGTCTCTGTGATGCCCCTGTCCACCCACCCTGGAAACTGGGGGGGGAGGGAGGGGAGCTGTCCCTCAGGGCCCCCAGCTCCCCAGGGTGCGCTGCTCTGCCCAGAGCCCCACTCCCAGGATGGCCGGCTGACGCCTTTCCCTCCCCACCCGTATTTCCCCACTTGAGGTTGCCCCTAGCTGGCTGTCAGACCCTGCTGAGTCCCATCGTTAGCTGCGGGCCCCCTGGAGTCCTGCTCACCAGGCCTGTCATCCTGGCCATGGACCACTGTGGGGAGCCCAGCCCCGACAGCTGGAGCCTGCGCCTCAAAAAGCAGTCCTGCGAGGGCAGCTGGGAGGTGAGTCCAAGCCCACCCCCAGCTTGGGCTCAGCTGGAACTAGGCACCCCACCCCCAAGCCTCTGGCTGCTCCTGGGAGCGGCAGCGGCCTCCAGCTGACCCATGGGCCCTGCCCGTAGGACGTGCTGCACCTGGGCGAGGAGGCGTCCTCTCACCTCTACTACTGCCAGCTGGATGCCGGCGCCTGCTATGTCTTCACCGAGCAGCTGGGCCGCTTCGCCCTGGTGGGCGAGGCCCTCAGCGTGGCCGCGGCCAAGCGCCTCAAGCTGCTTCTGTTTGCCCCCTTGGCCTGCACCTCCCTGGAGTACAACATTCGCGTCTACTGCCTGCATGACACCCACGACGCGCTCAAGGTACTGCCGCCCACCCTGCTCCAGGGGGCATTGCAGGCCGCCTGCCCTGGGGCAGCCTGGGTGGGGCAGAGGCGGGGTGCACCAGAGAGGGGCCGCTGGCCTCCAGGCTCTGCTGACCGCTGGGTGCTGCAGGAGGTGGTGCAGCTGGAGAAGCAGCTGGGAGGACAGCTGATCCAGGAGCCTCGCACCCTGCACTTCAAGGACAGTTACCACAACCTGCGCCTGTCCATCCACGATGTGCCCAGCTCCCTATGGAAGAGCAAGCTCCTCGTCAGCTACCAGGTAGAGCAGTCAAGGGGCCCGGGGCTGGGCACATCTGGCGCTGGGCACACCTGACCCTGCCCCTCCACCCTTCCCAGGAGATCCCCTTTTATCACATCTGGAACGGCACGCAGCAATACCTGCACTGCACCTTCACCTTGGAGCGTGTCAGCCCCAGCACCAGTGACCTGGCCTGCAAAGTGTGGGTGTGGCAGGTGGAGGGCGACGGGCAGAGCTTCAACATCAACTTCAACATCACCAAGGTGGGCAGGAGAGGCGCCAGCAGCACCGGAACAAATTCCACCCCAGCACCTGCGCTGCCACCCAGCCCACCTGCTCCTAGAAACTGCTCGGCAGCTTTCTGGAGTCTCCAGGGAAGGAGGTGTAGCTGCAAACACAGACAGTTGTGGGGCAGACACAATCAGATTTGGGGAACAGCAGTAAAAGGGAATGTGGGAGCAGTGGGAAAGGGAAAGGCGGCAGCCAGGGAACCCTCAGGGGCTTCCAGAGGAGGAAGTTCATACCAGGCCTCTAGGATGAGCCAGAGGCAGGCAGGCAACAGACAGAGAAAAGGTGTGTCTGGCAGTGGGGCCTGGGCGGGAAAGCAAAGGCCACTGGGGAGGGGAGCGCCAAGTCCGAGGCGAGCGGAGGGGGGTGTGGCTGGGGTGGGGACTGAGGCCTGGGCTGCCCTGCTCACCGGCTGCGGGACTTTGGGCTGGTCCCTCTGAGCTCCAGTGAGTGCCCACGGCCCCCACATGTTCTGAGGGGATCTGGGCTGGAAGTTCTAACAGGTACCCCTACCTTTCCCTACCCCCAGGACACGAGATTTGCTGAGTTGCTGGCTCTAGAGAGTGAAGGGGGGGTCCCAGCCCTAGTGGGCCCCAGTGCCTTCAAGATCCCCTTCCTCATCCGGCAGAAGATCATTACCAGCCTGGACCCACCCGGGAGCCGGAGCGCCGACTGGCGGACTCTGGCCCAGAAACTCCACCTGGACAGGTGGGTGGCAGATGGGTGGGGAGGGGCTGTGAAAGTCACTGCCGTCCAGCCCGGGTGGGAGGGGCGGACTGTGCCTCCCCGCCAGCACCTGGGGCATCTGGGGTGCCAGGACAGAGGGGAGTCCCCGCCCTCAGGCTCAGGGGTGGAGGGGACCGCCTGAGGTACAGACAGGCTGGTGACAAGCTCCTCTGTGTCCTTTGCAGCCATCTCAGCTTCTTTGCCTCCAAGCCTAGCCCCACAGCCATGATCCTCAACCTCTGGGAGGCGCGGCACTTCCCCAGCGGCAACCTCAGTCAGCTGGCCGCAGCAGTGGCCGGACTGGGCCAGCCGGACGCTGGCCTCTTCACAGTATCCGAGGCCGAGTGCTGAGGCCACCAGGCCCACGTCGTCTACACTTCACCAGCTTTGGCACCCGCCAGGGACAGGCAAAAGCCAGATGGGGCCCTTTCCCAGCCAGGAGAGCGGCGTGAGCAGGCTCCTGCCTGGCGGGCGCTGTCCCTAACACTGGCCCTCCAGGCCCGGCCTGCACTCCCAACCCACCATGGCCTGCCTGGCCAGGCTGGCACTGCCACTTGCTCCTACGCTGCTCCGGCTCCCGGGGCCCAGGGGGGACAGTGCCTCGGCCTCAGCGGGGTCCAGCCCGTCCGTGCGTGTGTCTGTGCGTGTGATGCTACCTCTCCTCTCGCCCCTGGCCCGGGGGCCGCATACACACGGGCATGCACGCACACCCTGGGTTTGGGACGTGGCCTCAGAGCTCCTGTCTGAGCCGGACCTTATGCAAACGTTTCTGTGCCTGCCAGGAGGGGGCACACCTGAGGGGCCCGGCTCCAAGTCTGCGGGACCCAGGGGCCCCAGCCAGACCGGGGAGGCCCCTGGATTCAGGCACATGACCACCACACGGGTATGTGCCCACGCATGTCTCGTGTGCTCATCTCACACGCATCCCACACGCACACGCATCTCCTGCTGTACACCCGGAGGCCGCTCGCGTCTTTCATGCCTGGTGTCGGTCTACATCTGCCTCTCACATGCTGCCCTTCTCCCGCCCACCCAGGGACACCCAACAGCTCCTCCCTGATCCCCCACAGCCCCCAGCTTCGAGGAGCCCTGCCCAGCGGGGCGTGTGAATATGCAATGGGAGTCCCGGGCTGGTCAATGGCAAGTGTGCATGCCGTGGCGTGCCCGTTCCCGGGGCTGGCCGGTATCCCCATGTGGGGCCTGTCGTGTGAAGTTCGTGCCCTGACTCTGTCTTAAGTGCATTCGCGCACTTACACTTGGCCTTATGTACACAGCCTTGCCCGGCCGCCGGGGCGCATAGGGATTTTAGCGGACGTGAATGTAAATAAATTATATATATATATTGCTAACCCAAGTGCTGCTTCTCTTGGGGAAAGCCAGGGGTCAAGACCAGTGGCCACAGAAGGGGCACGCAGACTGTTCGGGGAGCCCTGGGTTACTGGATCTGACGGGGGAAACACCTGGGCCTAGAACCTGGTCCAGCAAGGCTGGTTCCTGGCGACGTCTTCAGACATGGGTCTGCTGGGCAAGGCGGCAGGCTACGGCAGTGACCAGGGCTGCACCTTTGCCGGACCCGTCCTCCGACTGCAGGAAGGTGACCACACAGCGTGGGGCCAGCTCCTGCACTGTGGCTGCCACCTGAGAGGAGAAGCTGCGAGGGGGAGGGGCTGAGGTGAGCTCCGGCCGGCCAGGCCCCCTTGGTCAGGCCACCTCCCCAGCCCAGCACCCGGACTCACTGGGGGTGCAATTTGTAGAGGGTCCCATCCACCCCCACAGACACGGTCAGCTCTTCCAGGCCCCGGTTCTCACGAATCTTCTCCACCACGGCAGCCACACCTGCCCCACAGAGCTGGGCAGCCCGCTGGGACACAGCCTGGCACACCTCCAGGACCATCAGGGCATCGTCTGTAGTCAGGGGCAGCCCCAGATCCTCCAGGATGGCTCGGACCTGCCTCAGGGCCAGGCTGTCACTGGGGATGGGAAAAGAACAAAGCACAGAGAAGCGGATCCTGCATTCACTACCCACGTCTCTCGTGGCTTCTCCCTCGTCTGGGGTGCACCTCCCACCAGCAAGCTTTTCAGCCACAGTGGACAGAGACTCCTGTGGGAGGTTGAAAGAGTTAACGTAGACTTCAGGCACCTTTCAATCTCAGAGAGGAACTTGGTTTTGAAGATGTCCCTGGTCTGAAGATGCTGGGTCTGCTGGCCCCGGAAGAGAACTCCAAGGCTGGTCAAATGCAAGAGAACATGGCGGACAATCTCCCCCAGGTACATGCCACTGATCATCTTCTCAAACCTGCATGAAAGCATGTCTGTGCGTAGGGCAGGAGGCCCTACCAGCCCCCTGCTAGGGCCAGCCCACACCTCTGCTTGCCGGGGTTGATGGATGCCTCGTCCACACGTGCATCGAAGCAGGTGCTGAGCGTGTCCAGAGAGCCATCATCCCCAAAGGCACCCCACTCCATGTTGATACACATGTGGCCAGAATCCCCGGCCACACCTGCCACATTCTGGAGCTCCTCCATGTAGCAGGCATTGGTTCCAGTTCCTGCAGAGAGAGCAGACAGGGTGGGAGCCATTGACTGACGCAGAAAAGGCCCCAGCAAGCCCTTCCTACACTGAGAGGGCAAAATTTGGCCTCATTCCCTACCTCTCAGTCACCCCCTGCTCACAACTGTCCGAGGTCCTGGTCCTGCCACCTTCCTGACATCTCTGCCACAGACCCTCCAGCATCAGATCCTACACGTTGCCACGACTTTGAAGCCTCCCCCCCACCACCACCTGTGTGTGTATCATGCGACCCCACCTGCTGCTACAGTGTCCTCCCATTAGGAGGTATGTGACAGGTCCCTGCCTGCAGGTGACAGCCCAAGCTCCCCGAACTGGCCTTAAGCCCTTGAGTCAAACTAGCAGGTAGGGCCAGGAGCTGAGAACTAAGAGAGGACTCAGACAAAATGAGGCCCACGGTTGCCACAATGTGGCAATGAGCTGGGCAGTGAGCAGCCAACTCTAACACTGCGTTGCAAAGAAGAGCACTGTGCGGACCCTGAGGACAGGTGAGTCTTTCAAGGTCAGGGGAAGCTACAGAGAGGAGGTGACATTTGTATTTGAAGGCAAGAAGCACAGAAAGGAAAGGCATGCCAGGCAGAGGGTACACCCTGGGTGAAGACCTCTCCCTCCTCTCCCCAACACTCGGGCAGCTCCAGGCAGGTGGTCTCCTGGATGGGCCCACCTGGGACTCCTCCAGCCAGTTGTTTAGTCTCAGCGTCTCTCACAAAGCCCCAGATCTAGGAGACCACAGCAGGCCTTGTGTCCCACGAGGCCAGTGCCAAAGAGCAGTGGGAATCCTCCCGCAGCGAACTGCATCCTTTCTCCCCAGCTTTCTTTTCAAGTGCCACTCACACTGCATTCTCAGCCTTATCACCCTGGCCTGGAGAGCCAGACTCATCGCTCTCTGACTGACGCCAACGGATGGTCAGTTCTCAGAAGGCAGAGATTTCCCCTTCTTGTCCTGTCCCTTCATCCGTCCCTCACAGGGTAAGTGATTAACATAGACTTAAAATCATGGACTTCCTGCAAGAAATGCAGCACTCCATCTCTATCCCCGGCCCCACAGTTCCTAGCATTGAGTGGAACTGGGGCCGGGGGCCAGCCATCATGCCAGGCACTGCCCCTCCCATTGCATCCTCATGACCCCTTGAGCAGGCATTCTCCATCTCAGAGACAGAAAAAGAGGCTCTGTGACTTGCCCACGCCCCACAGATACACGTGGCAGAGCCAGTATTTCCACCCACATCTGTATAACTCCAAAACTTAGATTCATTGAACAGAAGACCAAATGGACTCTTTGAGAGCTTAAATGACTGTAAGACAGTAGCTGAACTGAGCTGGACCCTCTTGCCTGATAGAGGCCCCCGGGTCCCTGTCGGATCAGATGGGGATACTCCCTCAGCCCCCAAGCCAGGCAGCATCTGAGTCAAGGAACCCAAGGAGGCGGTGCATTATAATCAGGCAGTAGGGCCCCTCCTCACCAACAATGAGGCCGACCTCGCAGCGGGGATCCTCATAGCCACAGGACATCATGGTCCCCACCGTGTCATTGACAATGGCAACCACATTCAGCTCCACTGCCTGCACACAAAAGGATGCTGCTAGTTGCTGGGCAACGTGGTCGTCACGGCAACTGGTGCTGGACCCAAAGGTCTCTACTGCAGAGGGTCCCCCTGTCACAAAGCCAGGGACTCTTTGCTCCCCTCAAGGCCTGCTGCAAGCCCCAAAGCAACCTTGGAGGCAGACCCCTTACCTGTCTGCGCCTGATGGCTTCCCGCAGCAGATAGACAACATCTTGGCCCTCGCAGTCTGTTGCTTTAAAGCCCTTCGTCCAGTTTAGGAGGATGCCCTGCAGTGGGACCAAGGTGGGGCAGGAAGCTGGAGGTGCCCTGAGTCTCACTCTGTCTCTTCAAAGCTTGCATCACCTCAGTGTACACAGTATCTCCCTCCTGGCAGGATTCCCTGTCCACTATGTCATGAGGCTGAGGACTCTGCCCTCTGCACCACCCACACACACACACACTCCCTGGGAGGCTTCTGGTATGAAGCGACCTATTAATAAGTACCAGATCTGCGCCTTCATTACTAGAAGCCTCAGTGGGCCTGAGGGTCTGGCCATTTTAAGACATTTACAAAGGAATGGCTCTTTGTAATTGGGTTGGGAATGAACAGAGCTGGTAGTGTGAGCACTACGTAGGTATAAAAAAGAGGCAGGCCCCAGATCCTACTCTTTCAGAAAGAACTAGCAAGAACTATGGGAATGGAAGGAATTTTCAGAGTTAGGAACCAAATACAACAATGGGAGATTGTCTGGCCTGCTCCAGATCTGAGTGAAGGACGAAGAGCAGAGTCCCAACACAGACACCTGGGCCAGGTGGGAGGGGACAAGACTGACACACCTTCGCTGCAAAACGGCCTTCACTATGACCTGAGTGACGCAGCCTGGCTTTACTTAGGGCCGTTCTTTTCTTAGTGTGCTTCCGAGGAGGGAGAAGCTGGATCATGCAGCACCATTAGGAGAAAATGAATGTTCTGCCCAGAGGAGGGGAGAGCAAATTGGGGAATCTTTGCAACAGGAGATTTTAGAAAAATTCACCATTTCCCCCAGTATAGTTTCCTTTTACCCTTTAGCCATGTAACAACAGATAGTATTCTATACTCATTGTCTCAAAAGCAGAAACCAAAGAAGAGAAGACAGTCTAGAGGAGACCAGATCGTGATTAGTGGCAAAACTTCCCTGCTCCTAGACAAGAGAACCCCCGCCCCCACCCCCAAGCATCGGGGAAGGGACAGGTGTGGAGGGCAGATCTGGCCAAGCCAAGTTTTGGATAACTTCTGAGACAGGGGTCCTATGTCCTTTGCTATGGGGGAGGGGAGGAGACAGGGATTTGGGCAATCTGAGGAGGCCTCTTCTCCCCTGCTTATGGACTGTGGAGTTGCCAAGACCCACAAGAGGAGGAGGCAGAGTCCAGACTGCTGGGGTCTGGGTGACTCCCTGAATGCCCCATGTCCTCCCATTCTGAGCACAATGGATGCAGTACAGCCAAGATGGGCCCCTCCATTGAAAAGGGATCCCCAAATTAATAAGCATGATGTTCCCACCCCCAAAAAACACTGTGGACTCAACACAGTTATAGGAAGTGAGGAAGACAAAGTTTCTTACATAAACGACTGTGCATACCGAGTCCCGCATGCTCCGCCTACTTTTAAAATCATCAGGTGTGTGCACATAGCTTAGCCTGGAGTGGAGCAGACCCACAGGAAGGCCCTGATGGTTACTTGGTTCAGAGGATCACCACGTAAAAGAAAGCTGAGGACAGCGTCTGAGGAGTGACAGTGGGAACAGAGTGCCAGGACTGTGGGACAGATGAGCGTAGGCGCACAACATGATGGCACCCTCAGAAAGCTCCTGGCAAGAGGCTTTTTAGCAGAAGAGACTCCTGAGCACCTGGCCCAGAATTCAGGAAGGAGCTGGCCCCATGGGACGCCCCAGTGAGGGAGTCAAGTGCTCTTGTGGAGACATCCAGTCCCAAGCCAGGCTGAGAAGACGCAGCCAAGCCAGGGAGGGGAGAAAAGGCTAGTGGCCCTTCGGAGGGAGGAACAGGTGGCTCCTCCTGTGTCAGGGGTGCATTGCTAGCACTGGAGGTGACACAGTCCACAGTCCCCGCTCAGTCCATATCTGGGAAGACGCCCAGACGTCACCCAACTCTTTCCCCCTGCCCAGTAGCTGCCCCCAGGGGCCAGGTCTTGATCCCAGGCCTCTTCAGAGTCCTGCATTCCAGGCCACTTCACACACCTGGGGGGACTGAGCTGAGTTCAGGCCCAACCCAGCAGGGCCTCAGCTGCTGCCCCAGCTGGCCCAGGACACTTGAGGCCTCTCATTGGCCTCCTACGCACTCTGGGAAAGGGATGTAGGGGCAAGCCCCCAGGGATGACTACTCCTGGTCCTCCCTTCCTTACCTGGTCCAGGCCAACCTGCTTGCAAGGGAAGGAGAAGGTAAAACCCAGGGGGAGACTCTGCCCACTCAGGCCCTGCTTCTGCTGGAAGTCCACAATGCAGTCCACGATGTGGTCGAAGAGCTGAGGGACAGGACAAGTCATAGTGTAGGCCACCTCTCACCGCCCCCATCCTTCCCCACCCCTCACCTTCTGGCCCAGGCTGTGGGTACCTCCTGGCCAGAGCCCTGGGCCACACACTCAGGGATGGAGTAGACCTGGTTGGTGATCTGCACGCCTCCTGTAGCCACGCGCACCAAGAGGACCCGAAAGTTGGTCCCTCCAAGGTCCAGAGCCAAGAAATCCCCTAGTTCTGTGAGTACAGAGACCCTCAGTGCCAAGACAGAGCTGGTGGCCCAGTTACAGCACACTGGGGAACTCCCAGGAGCCTGTGTCCCAGCCCACACTCAGTCCAGGTCCTCACCGCTGCCGTCAGGTGTGGCCCGGACATAAGTGGGCAGCATACGGAGGGAGGAGGCCTCCCCTTGGAGCCCCTTGGCCATGGCCTCTCGCATCTGTGTCTGCACTGCTGCCAGCTGCTCTCTGCTCAGCCGGAATGGTGCCAGGGTCTCCTTCAACAGGCGCCGGTGGGCAGCCAAACGGGCAGCCACAGCAGTCACCATTGCCACGCCCTGGCCACCCCCATCCACAGAGGGGATGAAGGAGACATCACATTCTGGGGCCAGGAGCATCAATGTGTCCTGCAAGATGCTGAGGAACCTATGTAGACACATACCGGGCACGCCCTGGCTTGGTACCCAGCCCCGAGCCCCGGGGCCTATTGAAGCCGTGGGCTTCATTACTTCAAATCAATTCAATTCTAAATCCATCTGTGCAACAATCATATGCCCAGCACCCCAGCAAATCCCTCCCTTGCACAGTCAAGAAAAACATCCTTCTCTCTTCTGACCTCATCTGGCCCGCTCACACTGCTTGGGTGCCATTCGTACCCACCGTCCCACACCCTCCAGGTGACACCATGAGCATAATGATGCTCCTGCTACCTGCTCCTGCAAGCTAATGTGGATCCTCAGTACCTGGGGTGCCGCTCAAACACTCCACCTCCGGTGGCCACAGCAATCTGAAGCGTCTGCTGTTCCCGGCTGTGCTGGAGGCGAGCGAGGACAGCAGCCAGGGCAGCAGCACAGAGCTGGGCAGCCCGAGTGCACACGGCCACACACACCTGCTGCACGAGCCTGGCATCCGAGGCCCCCACGCTCAGGCCCAGGTCCTGCAGCACAGCCTGCACACGGGCTGCCCCGGCAGAGGAGCTGGGGGGACAGGATACCACTTTGGGGCTCAAGTAGCCTGGCGCAAAACCCCACGGCTCTGTTTTGGGCAGAGCTATACCCCCACCTTCCCAGATGAGAGCCCTTGGTGTGAGCCCGCTTCCCTCCCCCACTCACCTGCCCATTTCAGCCACGTGGGACAGGAGGATGCTGCCCTGGCTCAGCAGGGTGGAGGAGGTACAGCCGCCAAAGAGGACCCCACGCTCAGCCAGGTGAACTAGCACCAAGCGCACCAGCTCGCCCAGGTACAGACCCCCAATCATCTTCTCAAACCTGCAAGCAGGAAGGGTTGCTAAGCCCTGAGTTCACCTGGCCCCACCTTCAGCTTACTTTGGAGTCCCTAGACTAGAGGTTCCAGAAGCAAATGGCCCCCGAGGAAACAGGTGTGTATTTACCCAGAACCTGCTGCAGCCTTTCTAACTTAGGTAGGCCACAGGGGGCTGCTGAGGGTGGCTCAACCCGCAGGAAGACAGTAGACAATTTACTCAGCTACCCCTACTGCCCAACCTGTCAGGGCTGGCCAGGGTCAGGAATAAAGGAAGTGAAGGGTTGAAAACTCTGGGTTCTAGAACCTTAAACCCTTCCTTCCTTGAGAATGTTGAGGGCCCCCCAAGGAGTAAGCTGGAGATCTTCAAGTGAGAAGGGATGGGGCCTCACCTCTGAGCACCAGGATTCAGGGACTGGTGGTCCAGGGTTTGGTCGAAAATGGTCAGCACTGGCCCCAGAGCCTTGTCATCACTGAAGGAGCCCCACTCCACACTGACACAGACACGGCCCCGGTCCTCATCCAGCACCGCCACATGCCGGGCCTCCTCCATGTAACAGGCATTGGTGCCGGTGTCTGGCAGGGAAGACCCCATCAGGACCTACCTACCAGGCAGCCACGCACACACCACCACCCACCATCACAAAAGGCCACAGCTCACCTACAACGAGACCGATCTCACACGGCCCAACCCCTGGTTCACAGCCCATCATGGTGCCCACCGTGTCATTCACCACGGCAACCACATTGATGCTATAGGCCTGGACAATGGAGAGGGCAGAGGTCATAGCCAGCCTGGGGGAGCAAAGCAGAGAACCCGGAGGATGGACAGGCCTGGGTTTTCAATGGCGATGCCCAGAGCTCAGTCAGTACACACGTGTGACCCCATGACACAGGCCGCAGGTTCTCCCACCCGCCCCTTCCACACCCCCATGGCTTCTCCACACCCAATTCAGTCATCACCTCCAGAATATCTGTCTCCGCACAGGATCTAGGTGACGTGAGCAAGCATGGCACCTCAAAGACAGCACTCCAGATACCTTCTGCATAGGGCCTCCTCCTGGCCTGACTCCCCAAGTCTGTTCCTCCCAGCCCTGACTTCTGCCACTCTCCCGCCATAGCAGTGAGTCCAGACAGAGCCCTTTCTCAGGCACACAGAGGGGCTCCCGCCCCTCTTTGAAAGGGTCTTCCTGCACAGTGCCAGCATGCACCTGGCAAACTGATCCTTCAAGGCCCTTCTCTGTGGTGGCACAGCCAGCACACCCGCCATCACTGGAACCAGATCCTCAGCAGGGATAACCTGCCATTGGCATCCTTTCCCCACTACATGACGCATCACGTCATTTCACCTTTGTTTCCACAAGGGTGCTAAACATTTATTTGACTTTTCTTAGCCTCAGTCTCACAACCTACAAAATGGGAATGGATGCAGCATTTACCTCAGGGTTAAACGGGATAAAGAATATAAACAGGAAAGGAAATCAGGGCTTTCCAGAAGCACTGGCATTGCCTCCGTGTACTGGCGTGGTCCACATGGGCAGCCCTCCCAGCACCCTGCCTGAACTCACCCCCTGCCTCTGGATGGCCTCTCGCAGCATCTGGACCACATCCTGGCCTTCCACACCACTGCATTTAAAACCTTTGGTCCAGGAAATAAGGGTGCTCTGGGGAATGCAAAGCCAGGTCACTCCTCCAATAATCTTCACAGGGGCTGCCCATCACAGCCTCCACCATGCCCACGCTGCCTTACCCTGTCCAGGCCTGTCTGGTGACAAGGGAAGGGAAAGTTGAATCCAAGTTGCAGATCCTGTTTACCCAAGGGGAGCGTATCCAGGAATTCCGACAGGCAGCGGGAGGCAAAATCAAAGAGCTGTGGGAAGGGTGGGGAGCTCAGCTTTGCCCACTGGAGCCCCAACTGCCCAGCAGGGCTCCAGGGGTTAAGCACTTAGCACTCACCTGCTCCCCAGGACCTAACATCACCTCTTGGGGAATCATAAACTCCTGGCTTTGGGGCTTCATCCTAGGCCCTGCAGTGCCTGCTAGGGTCACCCACAGCACACGTAGCGAGGCTCCTGTGGCCCCCAGCTCCAGCACCAGAAAGTCTCCTTGCTCTGGGGGCAAGAAGATCACAAGCTCACAGCTCGCAAGACAGACCTCCGCCTGACTGAAATGCCCCGTGCCCACAGTCTGGACAAGGGACTTTAGAGATGGGCATGGGCATAAGGAACATCCCCCATTTCTAGATCAGAACATTTTGCCCAGGCCCGGCCACCTGTCTTAGTCTATGCCACCCACCAGTGCCATGTGGGGTGGACCCCACATAGGTGGGCAGCATCCGGACCGTCGAGGTGTTGCTGGCCTGCCCCCTCAGTGCTTGCTCCATGGAGGCCAGGAGGCTAGCTTGGATCTGCCGCAGCTGTACACCTGTCACCATGAACTTCTGCAGGCACTCCTGCACCTGGGGAGAGGCAGGACGACATGTGGACCCTAGTTGTTTGGCCTAGCCCTGCTTTCCCGACTCTAGCCAAAACAGAGGTCCAGAACGCTAGTCCTATTCAGCTCACCCCCTCAACCCCTCACCAAGCCAGACCAGAACTCATCCCTTGATTTCCCCAAGAGCTAGTGAGTGCCCTATCTGAGTCCTCTGGAGCCTGGCTGGTCAGTCTCCTGGGTACCTGTCCACCTCCTGGACTCTCCATACACACCAACTCTCTTCAGCTCACGTCTTCAAAATGCTCCTTTCTGGAGGGAGGGCCCGCCTGCCGCTCCTCCTGCTCCATTCTCTCCTGGCTCCTGCTCCATTCTCTCCTGGCTCCTGCTCAGCTCTCTACTTCCCCGTCCCCTTCTTTGAATTTGAGGTTTGGCAAGGCCTCTCCAGATCTACTCCGGCTTGCCAGCACCTAGGCAGTTGTTTTTCGTGAGCAAGTGAGTGAACAAACGTGTGAATGACTTTCAAGTTCAGGTGCTTCCCTCTCCCAATCCACTCAGCTGAGGAGCCTGAGCAAGCCCAGCACAGGAGAGTGTGGAGCCACCCCTCCCATCAGCCAGCTGTCCTTCCGCAGCCCGTGTGCGCTGCGTGTCCCACCCAGCCTGTGCTGGTAGAGCTCAGGCTCCAGTGAAGGGGCAGAAAATAATATAGTTCTGCCGGGAATGGTAAAAAAGATAGGCAAATTAAGTGAGAGTGGACAGGAGGTATTTGGGGATCTTGGTAAAGACAGGTCTTCCTGCCTCCCTGAGAGGTAGCCTGAGTGAAGGAAGGGAACAAGTCACTGGAAGATCTAAGGGAAGAGCATAAAGGGTTTTTCTGCAGAACAAGAGGATGGATTTGGGGTAAGGCAGGGCCAGGAGGGGAGGGATGCGGAGAATGCAACACCACGTTCTCCAATGGAAGCCTGAGATGGGGAAGCTGCCATCTCTGGGTGGAAAGCAACTCGAGGGGCCTCGGGCCCACCATTAAAGCGGCCCCTGTGGCCTCCCTGTGTCTGCTGGGGACTCACAGCCCTGTGACTTCATTCTCCAGGGCCTAGCCTTACTCCGGGCCCCCATCTGCTGTTGCCTAGAGATCCCATTCCTCAGATGCCTTGGGACTTCCAGCCAAGTAACTACTCAGGAACACAGTAATGAGTCAGGGAGAGGCAGCTAAGAGAGCTGGGAGATGGAGGAGATTCAGTCCTACCCTTGCCTTAGGGAGGGAATGGAAACACCTCAGAGGCAAGTGAACCTAAGTGGAGTCAGATATATCCTTCCAAGTTTATGTCATAGCAGATGCTTCTGGTAGCCGTGCGGGATTTGTCCTGTGTTGTGAGGAAACTGAGGCAGAGAAAGGGAACATCATTTGCCTTGCCCAAATTCTAACCCAATTCCATGTGAAATGAAGTCTTATAAAAATTAGCAATTTCACCTGTAAAGAACCCAAAGCTGATGAAATCCACAATGAATAAGAAAATAAGAATAAGAAAACTTATGTCTAATTCTTGGCCCACCAGTTCCTGGCTGTGTTGTCTGGAGCAAATCAAACTGAGAGACTGAGAATACTCAGAAGGCTACACACCAAGATCCCGGTCTGTTCACAGCCCAGGGCCTGCACTCAAGAAGGATTTGTTGATTGAGTGATTGTGGTGGTACAGCAACTAAAGGGGATAATGTATGTGAACGTGTAAAGTGCTGTTCAGATGTGAGGGGTGTTTTATCACAGTTTAATGACAATAGCAGCTCTGGAGAAATCTATGACTTGGGCAAATGGATGTTTTTCTTCTTTTACCTGGGTGCAGTAAAAGGAGCAAGAAGTAACTGGGAGATGGGCAGAGACCACAAAAGATTCCGGAGGGCTTCCCGTGGCTGAATCTGATGGGTATGAAGTGGCCAGGAGAAGCTACTAAAATCCTCCCCCTAGAAGAGCGAGGGGCAAAGACTCAGAGAGGCTCAATTCAGTATGACTTCAGTGCTGGCTCCTTGGGGCGACTTGCTGCTTCAGTCAGTCTGCCCTATCACCTTACCTCTCTGAGCAGGTTTTCTCCTCTGTGAAGTAGGAACAAATATAGCACCCACTTCTCAGAGAGGCATGAGACTGAGAAGACAGTAGCTATGAACAGAGGAACAGTGGCTGGCCAGGAGGACACGTTCAGTGAAATATGGGTTCCTTTTCCTCTGCAGGAGAGTCTGGTTCCAAGCAGATCCCAGGATAAAGGGTTTGGGAGGGTCTCTGACCACTCAGCTACACGAGCCTTCTCCTTAGATCACTGTGGGAAGGGGACTTGAAGGAGAGGACTGTGGAGCTGAGGGGGACCAAGATCACAGGGAATTTGGCATCTCTAAAGTTTCCCAGAACCAAAGAAGTTGTCTTTAAACTGCAGGTATGTGTGTTGGTGCCAGCAGGACAAATATGGGACTGGCACAGGGAGAAGGAGGAGGCGACAGACCTTAGAGAGAGAGCCCATTCACGGCGCCTTCCTGTGGCACCAGCTATGGGTTGGTCCCAGAGGAAATGCTACAGGAGGGCCTTGGGCAGCATTGGATCGAGGTGAAGTAGCAGCATGAAATGCAGTGAGCAGTGGTACCCCCACCATTTGTGCAGTAAGACAAGGCCAGCAGAAAACCAGAAAAATAAAGAAATGAGAGGAACCATTTCCTCTCATTTTCCTGGGGGCCTCCTCTATGCAACTTCTTTTTCTCCATTACCTCACTTCATCCTGCAAGGGGTGGTGGGGAGGACTCGATTTTATTTTCCTCCATATGCTGGTGAAGAAACAGAGTACAAGTCGTGAAATGACTTACACAAGTGTTTCCTGCTTGAGGGTGTGGTAGGCATAGGCGTCTACATCTTGGTCAAGATGACAGAAAAAAAGAAACTCACTTCTGAGTCAAACCAAGGTATATGGCCTCTGCTACTAAATCACTTCCAAGTTAAGTTCACCCTGAAATCACCTTTGTGTCTGACTGTGGGGGCTGTGCTCAGAGGGTTGGGGGGTGGGTGACTGGAGATATAGAAAGAAAGGGTCTTAGAACACAGGAAGGAGGAGAGGGAAGACACTGAGAAAGGAAATGGTGAAAACCCCTAAGACTCCTTTCTGGACAGTGCCAACCCACTCCTCATGTGGTAAGGTGGCAAAAACAGTAAATTTAGAACTGAGACACCCTAAGGTCCTTAAACTTAAGCCACTTCATCTCTTCATGAGTCCCCTCTTCGAAAGCTCCAAGATGAGAAGATCATGCCTCCTGGAAGTGGTGTGGCATCTCCAAGAGGTGAAATGTGCGGCTGTGCCATGCTGTCTCTAGCCTATGCTGCCCCTGACAGCCTTGTGTAGGCAAGAGACAGGAGCCCCTGCTGCACTTACCAGCTCAGAATTGTCTGAGGGGCAGGGCAAATCCTTCTGGGGGCAGCCTGGGACTATGTTCCTTCCCAGTGCTCTTGGCCCCATGTTGTCCATGTGATTCCACACGGGGAGGTGGCCACCTATGGGAGCAAAGGGGCAGCTGGATAAACCACTTACTCTGCAAGCCCTAGGAGCCCATGATCTTGACCCTGAAACTTCTTCCTTCAGAAGGTCACCAGGAAGGAAGTTGTGGGCGGAGCTCAGAACCTTTGACCCCCCAAAGAGCCTTTAGTAATCAACCAGAAGGCCCTCATTCTCCAGAAACATATGGAAGGAGAGAGCTCTGGGAAGGTTGAGTTTCCATGCCAAAGCCATTCACCCATTGTTGTTTGCTCATGTTTTCTGGTTCCTGATGCTGTGTCAGATGCTTGAGTACAGACGAAGCAGGCCTAGGTCTGCCTCATCTAGACCTAGACAGGCTCACCGACAATCACAGTACACAGATGGTGGTAAGATGAATGTGCTAGTGTCCTCAAAGCTTTGGAACAAAGGCTGTGGTGTAAGGAGTCAAAGATCTGCTGGAAGAGCAAGCGGGACTATGGAGGGTCTTTATGCCAAGCTACCATGAGTGCCAGCCTGACGATGACAGGGAGGTGTGGGCAGGGATGCTGCAGAAAGGGAACTTTGGGCAAGGCGGTCACCCTTACTCAAATTAGTTTCTTCTGGGAAACTACTCTGGGAAGTTTATGTACAACACAAATTTCAGCTCAAGGGAGGGTTTGGAAGATGCAGCGATGTGGGACTGAAAGAGTCCTGTGCTGAGTCAAGGTCTCTGCAAAGAAGCCACCCTGGGTCCCTCAAGCCCAAAGTCTCAATTCCTTCCTCTCCAAAGGAGGACCAGCGTGGGACAAATGAGATACTGACAGCAGATACTCACTGTGCCTCCCCATTTATTTGGCTGAATTGGAATGGAAACTGGATGGGTTTCAATTTCCACTGCCATCACAGTTCTTATGAGGATTCAAGGAGTTAATGGTCTCAAAGCCCTTTGCACACACCAAAGAACATTAGAAATGTCAGGTATTTTGCTCCAACTAAAGGTGCTGTTGCCTGAAGTTCCTAAGGGAGCCTTCAGTGAGTCAGGTGTCCTTTAGGAGTGGAGGAAAAAGGGAAATACAGGGAAGGCCCCATATGGGCAGAAAGCATCTGCTCCATTCAGGCACCTGCCCCTCTCCCTTGCACAATGAAGCTAGGAAAAGGACCCTTCCCACCCATGGAGCCTTTCCCATGGGTTTGCCTCCCTGTGGTCCCCTGTCCCAGGCTTTTCCTCAGTCCCCATCCTATGGTCCTCTCTCAAGCATGTAAGATCATGAGCATTCTCTTTGCTCAAAAATTCTCTTATCCCTTGGCTTCAAAAGTCATTCTCTCCTGGGCCTTCTTTCTGGGCACCTAATCATCTTTTGTCAGTAACTCCTATCTGATCACCTTAAACAATGAGGAGGTCATAGCCCTCCTCTCCACATTACCTCTTCATCTCACTCACCCCCAAGACTTTAGAAAAACCTCAGTATGAGGGTCCACATATCTACGCCCCATCCTGAGCCAAATCTTAAATTTCAGTGACCCGCTGGCTCTCACCATCTGGATGCTAGACAGGACCCTTACTCAATAGTCAATGTCACATGCTTTTTCTCTTTCACTTTCCTTTGACACTTCTCTTGACCTCCTCTTTGGCTGAAGGCATCAAGGCTGCTCACTCCAGCCCTGAAGCCCTCACATCCTCTCTAGGAAATCAGTTCCAGGGCTGTCAGGGCTCCCATGTGCCCCATCCCCCATGCCCACCTCCACTGCCCCGGACCTTCCTCCTATCTGAATCTTCCAACACCGCCTGACTGATGCTTCTGTCCACTTCCTCACACTACCAGCTCCCAACATATCACCAGAGTGACAGTGCTAAAATGTTATCATGAATTTTATATCACTCCCCCGGTCTCCCTCCCCTTAGAAAGGAAGAAAACTTTGACATTGTGCTCTGCAGGGAATACCGTGCAAAACTTTGTCATAGCATTGCAGCCCTTCCCTGTGTCCTCAGCTGCCCCGTCGTCCCCTCTACACTCCAGACGCCATGGCTGCCCAGTCTCCTGCCACGGAGCCTTCATCCATGGTGTTCCCTGGGTCTAGAACTACTGTGTCTGACTCACCCGCGCACCTTCAATGCCCAGCTCATGTTTTGGCACAAGTAGGTATTAGTGGCACTCCTATCGGTTTGAAAAACTGAGGGCAAGTGGTGAGGTGTAATACCAAGAAATCTAACAAATCTTCCCAAAGATGCTTTTATCCAGCCTTTCCACATCTGCCAAATGGGAAAGCTTATTTCCCCAACATTACAGATCAGTTTCAAGGATGAATGGGGTAACTGAAGCACTTACCTTTGGAAAGGGCCAAGGGTTGCCCATGTGAACTTCTATGTTCCTTTCAAGGCCCAGCTAGCTCCCTCATTCATTCACTCTTAGTCACTCCCTTTTCCCTTCAACATTTAGTTGGCACTTCTATCCGCCAGATTCTGCAGCTTTCCCCAAGAACCCCCAGTGTTTACTTTCTCAGGAAATGTATTCATTTGTTTCTTCTGAGAGAGAAACAGCTGAGAGCCCTGTAGCGAGGGCCTCGTATCGCTAGCCCCCCACACCTAGAATCCAGCTCAGGATCTGCTGAAGTGTGGCCTCTTGGTTTTTAACTCTGAATCAGCTACATGGAGTAAGCCTTCCTTCTGAAAAAGGAAGGAACCCCTGCTATGGATGAAAGCCACCCAAGAGAACCAGCTGGCTTAGTCTCTCCAGACTCCACTCCTCTATTACAGGCCAAGCAGAAGATTTGAGGGTGAGAGGCAGGAGCAGAGTCAGACAGAAATCTCTTACCAGGGAGAAGCAGCAGTTGGTTGCACTCCTCGAGTCTAAGCTCTTTTCTCTCAATGTGAGACAACCCAATGTCCCAGATAGCAGCTCAAAATAAAATTCACTGGTGACCTGAGTTACAGTGTTTCCAAGTCCCACCCTATTCTTGCACCACCACTTACTAGGCACCAGCAATTCATGAAGTTGCATTTCCTTTTCAGTTTGCCCTCAGAGGAGCCTGAGATAGGCAGGGCCATGATGCAAACAAGCAAATGACCTCGAGAAGTTGGAGCCCTAAACTGGCCCAGGGATCCTGAACTGGAAGTGATGCTGGGGATTTCGTTCATTTACATTCAGTCTGAATTTTGAGGAGTGACTCACCCTGCAAAGGGGATGTAGGACCTGAGCCTGGGAAAGATGCCGTGCACTAGTGGTCCAAAATATGGAAGTACTAATGAGACCAAGGCAATGTGGAAACATAAGATTAAGAGACTAACTCTGCCCTACATTGGTCAGGGCAAGCTGAGGAGCTGTCTTGAACAGCATTATGTTGGCAGAAATGATGCTGGACTGAGGGAACATACAAAATAAACCATGGAGCCCAAGGCACTTTCATGAAATGGAGTACAGATCCAAGGGCCTAAAGTGGACACGTGGGCTGGTGCATGTAGTGTCAGAAGCCTAGCCACACTGGGTGTATACTTTCTTCTGTCTTCACACTGATAGTTCTCGCCCATCCACCCAAGTTCTGCCTTCTCCTCATTTCCATCTATTGAATTATCTTAGGGACAAAGCTCACAGGTGAGAATGAATCCATCCAAGGCTGAAGTTTCCAATGAGGGATAGGAGGTAGTTTAGTATAGTACAGAGAGCATCAGGTCTGGTGCTAGACATGCCTGCTTTCAAATAACATCCCATTTACCAGCTATAAGACCTAAGGCAAATTTCTTCACTTCATGAGCCTCAGTGTTCCACAAAGAACACAGCCTAGTATCTCCACAGGATTTGCCTTAGGCTGGGTCCTCCAGAAGCACACCTACCTGAATACAGATAGGTTAACCTGAAAGTGATCCAGGCCAGGGTTGGGATAAAATGGGGTGACTTAATACAAAATGTAAAGGCCCCTCTGAGTTCACACAGTGCCCATACATAGACCTATGAATGAAGGTATCTCAGTCTAGACCTAGCCGATTTAAGAAGCACTGACAGGAAAGCAAAAGGAAAGGAAGGAAGTCAAAATGATAGACAATGTTAAAATTGCTGTTGAGAGCCACTAAGGCTTAATCTCACAGGGAAACTCTGGGAGAAGGTAGAACAGAGCCAACTGGGAGTGACCTTGAGAGCTGAGAGGGGAAGTATTTATCCTCCAGTTTCCATCTTTCTAAGGCTAGGCGCTGTCTCAAGGGTCCTAACCCCCAGCACTCCCAGCCTGTGCCACACACAAGCCTAGAGAAGTACAAAAGCAGACTGTTGCAGGTTCTTATTGGACCTATTGGTCTTCTGGTGTATAATAGAATGGCAAGTGTCGAGGAAAACAGATAAGACACAGCCTCTGCCAGATGGATGTTTTAAGGATAAAATGAAACAACACAACCACAGTGCCTAATATACAGATGCCCCTTCTCTTTCCTAATTTGTGGCGACTGCTTGTGAAGTTCAGAGAGCTCTGTAGTTCTCCACGAGTTGGCAGCACCAGCACAACTGCTTCTCATCTTTTGAAGGAAATGTAAAGAACCCCCCAGAGGCCCTAGGAGAACTCTTAATGCCCAGGACCCAAGCTTGCCTTGGAAGGCTGGCAGCTGATGGAGCCAAGGCCAGAGGGCTCACTCCGCCAAGAACATCTACACCTCATCCCTGGCTTTTACGCTCATTCTAACACTACGTATGGACATGTAACATTAGCATCATGTTAGTAACAACGCTGCCACTTACTCACCATCTCTAATGTGACAGATACCACATTATGACTTTTCCCACTTTATGGACAAGGGAATTAGGTCTCAGGGAAGTTAACTTGTAGCAGATGCAGGGGTTCACTCAGGCTGATGTGATACTCTTTCTACTTACTTCACTGTCTCATTAATGCCCCTCCCACAGGACTAGTGGCACAGGAAAGTTAAGGCAAATATGCAGCCTTCACAATTGACCACCCCCTTGGGTGGGCAGCAGTACAGGGCAGTAGCTGCTTCCGCTTGGTTCCTGTTAGCTATTCCTGTTCCTGTTGATCTACAATTTCCTCCAACAATTTGCTATTTACCTATGTTCTAGGGAAACTGCTCAATTTTAAGCTAAATAATTCACTTTCTAGAACCAGCCATTTCCCTTTTCTTATCTACAGGCAGAGATAAACATACTATATCCTGTTTATAGAGCTCTACCTCCAATAGATTGCTATTTAATGAGAGACAAGACTAGTAAAAGTTAAGCTGATGAGACATAACTGATAAATTACTTTTCACTGGAAAGAAAATAGGAAAATAATCAATACTAGTGTCAAAATACAGTGTTTTCTTTAGGACTGAAGTGGCCTCATTGCCATGGACAAAAAGTGGCTTTATTTGTTCCTCTATGCATGTGTTTCTTTATCTGAAAACTTGGGGGGATAATAGCTATTTCACAGGGTTACCACAAAACTACAGTGGTTGCTTAAAAAAAATTCTTGTGTGGTGGCTGTACCATCCCACACCAAGACATGAAAGGAACACACAGTGGCTGCCAACCCTGCCTTCTACTAACTCTGTGCTTGTGTACAAAGGCACCATGGCAGGCAGCTGTGCCTAAAGGCTAGCCTAGGCGTTCCATTCTAGCTACCCCTGAGCGCCAGTCTAGCACTGACTTCATTATCAGGTTAAAATAAAGGAACCAATATCTGACTTAATACATCAGAAGTTAGGAAGTCTGAGTGGTATCGCTGTTGATACCATCCTAGGATCCTTTCCTGGTCAGTAGTCCTCTATTACATCTTCAAATCAACTGGAGCCCATGCTGGCTTTCTTAACAGCCATGTCTGATCATGTCCCTTAAGTAGTTTTCCTACCATTCAACATCCTCTCATTTTAGAGACGACTCACATATTGAGGGCCACACATCTCCACTGTGTACTGGAATGTACTGGGCAATATGGTTGAGAATGTATACTTGACAACAAATGTACTAAAACAGAAACTACTTCCTACTGCTGCTATGTCCTTTAAAAAGAAGAGAACCAATCTTGGTTTTAATAGATGAATATTCCTACCATTCCCATTGGTTAATCTAGGGAGAAAAAAAAATAATTGTGTAAAAACTAATAATAGCATTCACTTACAGATTCCTGGGAACTATGGCAGGATAGAGCCCTCAAAGGTTGTGGTCTGGCAGAAAATTCTTAACTGGCTAAGTCAGCAAGAGAAGTGATAGGTCACTGAATGGCAGGGACAACAATAAAAAGTAGGACTCGATGGCACCTTCCAGAATGTCAGAAAAGATCAAGGGACTAACCACACAGGTTAGGAATTGCACCTTATTGACTCAAAGACTACCGGTAGTCTGTCACAAACCAGTAATAAAATGAATTTCATATCATGTAATTTATGTCTGAGAACTAGCTCCACAATTAAAATATTCCCATCCCAAATTCCACAACACAGAGAAAAAAAAAAAAAAAAGGAAAATCTCCATTTTGTTGAAGTAATTTCATACAAACATAGATAAATATATTTAAATTTTCTTTTAAGGATTCAAACAGATTGTTATAAAACAAAATACTATACACAGATATTGGTATAGATTATAGAAAACATAAAAACAAAAATGCTGGATGGGCGCTGGTGGTGAAAACTGTGAGCTGCAACTTATTCAACAAAGAATTGGAGGCCAGTAAGGCTTAATGAACATGGCCCACCCCTACTGCTATTGGCTTGGTCAACCTTGGAATCCAGAAATTCAGGATTTTCTCCTTCTTCCTCTGCCTGCTTTGGTCCTTGTCCGACTACCTGATGGGAAATTAAGTTGCTTTTTGAAGTCCACTAAGCAATCTGTGGCTTCTGATACAGAAACAAAAGACTTGATAGGAGAGTCATTTAAGTCAAGATGTGCAAGGGGACTCTGCATCTCTCTGCTGAAGCCTGCCTCTTCCAACCCTGGTGAGGGCACCCTAGAAAGAAGGGGGAAAATTTTTTAGCTCAATATAGACCAACTACTCAGCACTAAGTATGCATCATGTCTTTTACCATATATTGTAAGTTCACATAAACTTAAGTACTACCATTCTCCTTTCACAGATGAACACATAGGGTAAATCATATACCTAGAGCCACATCAGAAGGAAAGAATGAGAATCCAGACCCCAATTCTCAAGCTATTTGAAATCTAAATCAGAAGACCAGGGCTGGATGTAGGGACAGAGAAGCAGAGACAAGTATTACACAGCTATTGCTCTGCATGCTTTAACACCAAGAGTGAACTGAGCTAGTTACTCAATTCTTAGGCCATTATATGGAGGTGACCAAGTTACACAGGTTCGGTGATTTCTACTTCAACAGTTTGAATATCACACCACACAGAGAAACCAGGACCAGGTCTATATACTTTTCTAGAACTGCTGACAGTCACACATTAACACACATCCCAATTCACCTGAAGGCTCTTACTTCTGAAGGCTTGGCTTTTATCTCTGCATCTGTGATAGGAAAGAAAAATAATGTTTTGAGCAGTGTTGTAATCTGTCGCTTTTCACCGATCATGTGCTTCCTGTGTTCTGGGCACTGCTTTTCATCAGGCTTATCCAGAAAGCCCAGATCCCTAATCAGCAGACCAATGGAATGTGAGCATTAGCATCCAAAAGGCTCAGTCCAAGAAATTCTGAGGTGAATACTTGAATGAACCACTTCAGAATAAATCTACTTCAAATCTGGACTCTAGGAACAAGGAGCTGCCAAGAGAAATGTGCCACCTGCAGAGATTCACAACCTGCTGCTATAGAGGCAGTAGGACATGGAGTTCAGAAAGACTGCCTTTTTATAGTCATCAGAGGCACAATAGATTTATTTGGTAGAAATGAACTATCAGAACTAAATAGTAGGCAAATCTCACCAGGCTTATGGAAAAGCTTCCATTTCATCTGCTTCTAGTGAATTTTAACAACAACTAATAAAGCAGTAATAATAGCAGCTGACATTTATCAACAGTCTACTGACATCAAAGAATATGTTTGGAGTTTACCCTGCAATCTATGAAGTTGGTATTACTAACTATAGGCAATGTTCTTACTAATCCATGTTTCTGCTCCCTAAATAGTAGACCCAGAGAGATAGAATTACTTCCCATAATTCTTCAGGATCACAACTTGGGACATTAAGTTAAATGTAACACATGAATGATGCATAAAACATTAGAAAGGCAGTAATGTCTGTATGTGTAGTCTTCTATGCATGTTCCTATACAAGGTATTTTGAGCCTGTGATATTTCCCAGTTCAACAGGTTATTTTTGAAAGTTCAGATTTTATAAAGCCTGAAATAAAACACATGATGAAAAGAATGAAATAGCACATCTCCTCAACTTCCTCAGGGAAAGATGACTCAATCTGAAATCTCAAAGACTGGTTGACCGGGTCAGATGAACATACACATAACTCCAACAAATACTCAGGAAGTTGGTAGTAGCCATGTTCACTGAAAGGCCTTAGATAGGATCTTAGAAAATTGGTCCTGGAATCCTCACCAGCAGTCTCATGCTTGGACCGTCCCAAGAGATTAAGGAGATGGCCTTCTCTGTGACTTTTTTCCTGTGAGAGTGAAAAATAAAGAGTTATATCTTATGGCAGAGAGACTGAAATATAACTTCCTTGCCCAGATCACACCTATCTCCAAAGAAAAAAGGTATGGGGCACAGCTCTAAGAAAATCTTTTGCTTTCTAATAAATGATGGTGCACAAGTGAAAAGGAAACCATGATAAAGAAAAGCTATCTTTTTTACCAGGACTATTAGCCAAGAATGGTATCAGAGTTCAATCAAATTATTCTACTATATTAAAGAACACTAGCCTTTGACTTCTGATAGATTTGGAGAGATTTAAAACAGAAAATAACAGTTTCAAGATAGCTTCTAGAGACTTCATGATATAAGGATTTAAAAATAAGCCCCCATTCAAAATCGGTATCTCAAAACCATCCTCTTCACGCAGGGGTCCTTCTTTCTTCTGTCATAAAAGCTAACATTTCCCCATGTGATTGTTATGTGACTCAGTCTAGAGTATGGAGTTGCTACTTTATCTCTGATCCAAATCAAGACTTGCTTTTCCTGATTTCTAATCACAAAATCCAGATGTACATCCACCTTGCAGTGACCAGTTATCAGACCCCACAGCTTCCCAAGGTAAGACACCCAAGTTCAACAAAGTTGATCATAGTAATGTTCCTGGCAGTGGAAGTAAAACTGGATATCCTTTCTGGAAAGCAATTTGATGGTATGTCTCAAAGAGTTTTGAAAATGTTTATCTCCACCGTCCTAAGAGTTTCACTTCAGGAAATCTATTCTAAGTAAATAATAAGTGGAACAAAGACTTACTAATGTTTTAAATACTGTCTTATGAATAAGAAATAACTAGAAAGAAAGAGTTTGAATGTTCTATAACATGAGATTAAGTGACCTTTGTATGATATAAACATTAAGAGTATTTTTTTAAATACACCCAAGAAAGTATCTATACTACAATGTTAAGTGAATACACACATACAAATGCACAGATAAGGAGGGGAGGTGTGGCAACTACACTTAAAAACTCAGAAAGAGGCCCTCCCTGGTTGCGCAGCGGGTTAAAGCACTGCACTAAGAAGCTGAAACCACTTCCGCATGAGTTCAATTCCCATCTGCCCCGGAGGAGACCACATGGCGTGGCAGACCTCTCCTGACCCGCCCGCTGCTCCCCTCAGCAGTGTACTTCTTCGATCTGCCTGTTCTGCTCCCCACTCTGTCTCTGGTGAAGTCTCTCACCGCCCCTGAGCCTCTGGCCTGTACCCCAGTTCTGTATGCATAAATAAATAAATCTTAAAAAAAAAAACTCAGAAAGAAGACTGGAAGGACACAAAATGAAGAATGATGTAAAAAAATAACAATAATATATATTTCTTAAAAGACTGGGAGAAAACAGGCCAAAATATTAAGTTATCGTTAAGAAGTTAAATTATGGGTGGTAATTCCCACCCTCAACGATTCTTGTTTAATTTCCCGCAATGAAGATAAATTACTTTTTTATTTAAAAGAAAGTAATTTTGAAAAGCACAAATATCACTTCTAGATAAACAGAAGAGAAAGCAGGAAGAACAGAGGAAAAGAGGTTAAAAAAGAAAAAAATCCAGAAGTGAACTGTGAAGGGTTAAGCAGTTTGTTTATTTGTTTTGCAGAGAAGAACTGGGGTGAAGGTCAGAGGGGGGTAATTCACCAGACACAGAGTAAGGGGCAGAAGAGGTAGATTTTACTGAAATAAACTGCTAAGGGGAGCAGTGAGGAGACAGGAAAGGCCTGCTGTACCATTATGTGGGTCAGCTCCCAGGCTGGGGTGGAACTCAGGCCCTAGAGGTGATGGTGCTGAGATGTTAAGAAAAAAACCCACACATACCTTTGCGTTCTTAAGCTGCTGTTGCTTCCCCTCCACAGTTACTTGTACTCTCTCAATTTCTTCAGACCCATCATCTTTGTCATTCCTTGCAAGTTGGAGACAGGCCTCTACGTGATCCTGATACTCCCTTAATGAGACCAGGGATTTACAGAGATAACACTTTTCATTCCTAGCCAACCAGAAGGAAGAGGGGGAAAAAACAGTTTTTAAAATTTGTTTTTGCCACTGGGCTTCTAGATATATCTCAAATTGTGTTTTTACATCTTAAAGTTATTCTGTGGGGAAGACATGTCAACCAATGCAGATTTGCTCAGCAGGATTGCCAATAAAACTAACCCGCCGCCAATCAAAAGGACTGAGTGATTAGCGGTTTTCCCTGGCTGTTTCTCTGTACCCTGCTGTTGCAGCAGTAGGATGGTAATGAAATCAGCTCTTCTAACTATTTCAAACAATGCTGATTGCTCTTCAGACATAAAATATTCTGTCAAACTCTTCTGAAATTAAGTGTAATAGTTTTTTCAAAGGGAAGTTAAAATTTAGATAGAAAAAGGAGCACCGAAGAGCATTAAATCAAGATGACATTTTTACCAGGGTGGATGAAGTTGTCTGATTAGTAAATCAAGTCTGTCTATATGCTGATTTCCTTAATTCTACAACCTGAAACATCAACTAGGAAGTTACCAAAAACCATGTGGTTCTGGCAAAGGCTTTTTGCATAATTTCATATACACAGCTATTTTTAGAGGAAATTGTGTCCTTGAAGTAAGGTTTATTGTGCATCAGTGAAAATGGAACTACTGGGGACAAAGACAGAAAATGAACGTTTAAGTATTTTCTCTGAGAACTGATGCAGAGCTTGAAGTACAATATCTTAATTAATTCTTGGCCCTTATAGAAAGATACTATTCTCACCAAGGTCCTATAGCTGATAACTTTAGTAGCCAGGTCTGCCAGAATCTTAAAGTCACCTGAGTTGTTTTGGTTTTAAAGATCATCCTAGTTTTAAGTAGCCAAACAAAAATTTCCAAAGCATACTACCTTAGACTTATAGCAAGAGAGATTTGGACTAACTCTAAGGAAGAATTTCTCTGGAGGTGTTTAAAATAAGAGAAATAAAATAAGAGAAAAAATCAAGTACTTAATCATTTGAAAGAATGGAACTTAACTCTGCCTTATGAGAAAAACTAAACTAGTGTACCCTTCAAGGTTTGCCAACTAATCCTAAAAGCATTTATTAATCCCTACTATGTGAGAGACAGCAGCACTATGTGAAAGAAACCTAATAAATTTTGAGTCAGGAAGACGTTGTCAATTCTGACAATGATCTTAACTTTATAATTTATCTGCAGATTCTTTATCAATTTTTTAAAAGTAAGAATAACTATCTTATCAACTTTGTGAGTAATAAAGTAAATGAATCATGTACCACAATGACTGATACATATTCGATGCTCAGCACATAGCTATTATAGTTACAGTTACAGTTATCTCAGATATATTTTATTAGAACCCAGGGATACAAAGCATGAATGAAGACAAGTATCTATCGTCAAATTAACAGCCAGAGACAGAAATGTCAAAAATGGGGAAAAAAGAAAACAAAACTGCAATAGTGTGATGAATACTATGCAATGATAGTAGGATTCCAAAGGAGTAGGCTGTGCTCAAGTGGATTAGGGGAGGCAGCCCTGAAATTTAGGATCTAAGATATGTGTTTCAAATATTTTTTGCCTAATGACTGAATTTTCTAATGTACTACTGGTAACAGGGAGTAGGGTGTGGGGGGGAGAGAAGTATACTTATACATGCCCACACCTTAAGAATGCACTTTCTTAGTCAAGCCAAAACCCACAACCCAAGGAAGTCTTCTGTATTGCCCAACCTTTTGCAACTCAACTTCTATATCATTACATAGCAAAATAGCTCACTGCTTCCTCAAAGCACCAACTACCAATACATAAATTCAAAGAGAACAGAAAGCTAAGAGCAATGTGAAAATGGAGTGGGTGGCAGAATTCTTTTAGGGTGATTAAAAGGGATTCAGAGGCCACCTACACTGACATAAAATGGGAATAAGAAAAAGAAAGGTAGGCATCTAACCAATGAAGCGACTGGAAGACCAAAGGAAACCTGGGTAAGAAGATCTCGTCTCTTTATTCGCTCCAAGCAATGGTTTTGTTGAACAAGAGCTCTATGTAAGCGCCTACCTACTTACTTGTCAATGTCTAGGGAAGTGCGAGCAGCTGTCCCACTGTTGCTCTTGCTCTTAGCTTCTTTTTGCCTCCGAGTCAATACTTTCAAAACAACAAAACACAGAAAAGAAAAACTTAGTTGGCAATAGAAAGGCAAAATGTATAGTTAAAAATCCTACTCCATATGGTGACGGCGCATGGGTGATTTGGTGATGGGAAACCCAAGGGGTTTGCAAGTGAGATGGAAAAATGCACAAAAATATGTAAAAATAAACTAATGTAAAAAAAAAATCCTATTCCAGAAAAGCGCTGTCTGGGAAACCTGGTCTCAGATAGAGAATCCTGCCCCAAATACATGTATGGAAACTGAAGCAATAAGACGTTCCCATATTATGCCATGAGCACTATAGATCTATCTGCTCTACACCAAGTAATGTTACTATCCCAACGTGCAGTACCTAGAGGAGCGAACTATACTTCCCAACCAAAATCCCCAATAAATGAGGTTCTCTATGTAACAGAGTAATAACAGCTATATCTAAGAACCCACAATTGGGCCCTCCTGGTGGCACAGCAGGTTAAAGCACAGCACTGAGAAGTTAAAGCCACTTCAGCATGAGTTCAATACCCGCCTGCCTGGGAGGTGACCCACATGGCGCAGCTGACCTCTCCTGACCCACCCGCTGCTCCCCTCAGCAGTGTACTTCATCGATCTGCCTGTTCTGCTCCCCATTCTGTCTCTGGTGAATCCTCTCACCCCCTGCACCTCAAGCCTGTGTGCATAAATAAATGAATCTTAAAAAAAGAACCCACAATAGTGCCAATCTTGACAAAATTCTGCAAACTGCTCCATTTCCAAGTGAGAAAGTTGGAGCTCAGAATGTTCAACATGGCGAGTCTTTCCCACTACACTTTGACGTTCTCCCAACTCTAGTTGTTTAATACAGATCACTTTAACCTCAGTGATATATACTTTCTCTCACACCAAAAAACACATCTGTTTATTGCTGCGGACCAGCGCAGCAGGAGCAGGAGACAAGATTCAGGGATTGCAATTCTGGTGCAGGGTGGACAAGGATGAGGCTGAGTGACAGACAGACACGACTTCTAGGAGTGCATATCTGAATGTAATTTATTTTTAAGAGTGCAGAGCATTTATACAATTTTTATTGGCAAGCTAATATAGGGATACAATAATTCTTTTAATAGAAGCGTGACAGGTAGTACATTAATTTCTTTTTGTTTCTGAGATGTTGCCAGGGGCCCGAAACCAACTTGGGGCCCTCAGAAACCACTGTGTATTCAAGGTTCAGTGCTGTTAAACAAATGCCCTATCTATCACCTATGCCTTTCTAATCCTTTTAATTACTCTCTCCATTCATTGCACAAACCACCTGGTATACAGGAGTTAATTGTATAATAGAATTAAAGATTATAAAGGAGTTTCTCAGAAGTAAATCAGTATCAAGAATAGAGGAAGTTACATTATTATCAAGATTAGAAACAAAGCACAATATCCAAGTTACATTCTTATCAAGAGTATCATTAGAAACGAAGCACAGTATCCATAACATTTCTTTAGCTCAGTGCGTTGTGTGTTAACAGAATCAGAAAACAAATCAAAAGTTACAGTGACCATTCGAGAATCAGCCATTCTTCTATTCCTGGAGGGCCACGTATTCCTCCCGTGTGCCCGGTACCTTAACCGTGCCAAGCTCTAAGGATTTCTCACTTAGGCGCTGCGGGACGGGATGTGGCAGTTTATAAAAATCAATGTGTCTTAAAAGGTCTGGTAAGTTACTGCATCAAGTTTTTCCAGACTTCATTCCTTGTTGTAACAGTAAAACTGTGACCATCTCACTTCAAATTCTGCATTCCTTCCTGGCACTTGAAATCCCCATGTCAGAGAAGTTAGGAGAATTACCAGTTCACAAAACAATTTAGGCTATGACACATTTATCTAATACACATTTATCTAATTCAGGGGTCAATACACTTTCTGTAAAGGGCCAGAGATTAAGTATTTTAGGCTTGAGAAGCCATATAGTTTCATCCCAACACTCAACTCTGCAGTAGAGAAGGTAGCCATAGGCAGCACATAACTGAGTATGGCTAAGTTTCAATAAAACTATTTATGAGCACAGATGTCTGTCTAGATTTGACCCCCTGCTGGCCACTGTTTACCTACCCTTCTAGTCCAACCTTATTCATAAATGCCTTCTCTAAGCATCCCTAACACATAATCATACTGTTTTAATTCATTCACTGCAAAGTATTCACTTTCTCCTAAGGAAAGTCATTCTGTTACTACACAACAATCTGGCTCAATCTGCATTAGGTGAAGGTCACAGGACTTTTCTACAAGTCAGCTCTTTGACCATTTACAAACCACAATTATAATCCTGGGTTTACTCAGTTGTCTATCCCACCAAAATGTAATCTCCTTCAAATTAGGGAAACTACCAAGTCATTAAGTAAATCCCTAATAAGACTTGGATTGAAGAACCTTGAGTGCCTAGGTTAGTTCCAGTCCTTAAAACAACACCCCAGATTGGTACTATTATTCTGTCCTATTGAAGGTATGCAAACAATCTCTAAGGCATGAACTTCACCAAGCTATTACAACTAGTAAGCAGAACACAAGATGGAATCTAGATCTGATTCCCATACCACAATGCTTACCTTCCTAATTGACTTTCTCTCTATATACTCCAATTATCAGTCTCTCCTTATATAATGGGGTACTCCAAATCAGACCCAAAACTCAACAAGAAGTCTGACCAGTAAACAGGACAGAAGAACTATGAACTATCTTATGTGGACTCATTGTAATTCATCCACAGCCATCTGTTTAACTGACAGTCCCAAAATACTACTGGCTTAAATAGAGCAAGTAAGATCCATCACCTAAGACTCCTCTCCCCAAACATCTTCAAAAAAAATGTTATCAAGACAGGCCTCTTAGTTACTAAAATTGTTGGTTATCCTTTCCCCCATCCCTTATATTTGTTCCTGTTCTTTTTAGTAGAACATTTCAGTCTGTTGAGCTTTGCAGTCTTGATTCTGCCATCTGATGTTATTAACTCTCTTTTCCAGCTTTGTGTCAACTGCATTATACAAGTATGCTTTCCACATCTGCATCCAAGTCACTGGGGGAAAATGGTTGTAAAAGACATAGCCAATGATAGAAAACTATGGCATGCTACCAGAGAAACCTAACTTCTTCTCCCTGGTCCAAATTTTCTTTAAATAATTAACCAATCAAATATTTATTGAGAATCTTCAATGTACAAGTCACCTAGGGAGTCTTATCACTTATGAAGCAGAAGACTTGTTCTTAAGAAGCTTATAATTTACTAAGAGAGACAGAATATATACTTAAATAACTATAAAACCATATATAGATATGCAAAATAAAACAAGATATACACACAAGCAGCAATTAATAGTATATGTCTCTAGGGAGGATGACAGAAATAGAGATTAGAATAGGAGGAAGGTAGAGTGTTCACTATGTACTTTTCTGTACTATTGAAAGAGGAGAGAGCAGAGTAAGGAAACTAGATCTTAGGTATGGGTTAGAGTAGTTTCCCCCCACCCAAAGATTTATTTATATATATATACAAGAACTGGGGTACAGGCCGGAGGTGTGTGGGGTTAGAGAATTTACCAGAGACAGAGTGGGGAGCAGAAAAGGCACAGGTACTGAAATACACTGCTGAGCGGAGCAGCGGGCAAGACAGGAGAGGTCTGCTGCGCCATGTGGATCAGCTCCCTGGCAGGGTATCAAACTTGCGCAGCAGTGGCTGCGAATCGCTTCACAGTGCTGTGCTTTAACCTGTTGAGCCACCAGGGAGGGCCCTGAGTTAAGTGGGTTTTTTTTTTTTTCTTTTAGTAAAAATAAAGTACTGCAGGAGAAAAACATCCTGGACATAGTTGTATAACTACTTTCAAATCCACCTCCTATTCTATCAGTTAGCCCACATTTCTCCATCTACATGCAAGGACTTCATGAGAGATTTTATCAAGTGCCTTGCTGAAACTAACTCTTAAAAGGCACCTCACAGATTAAAGAATACTTTCAGGGTTGTTTTCTCTCTCTCTTTCTATTTGCCCCTCATCTTGACTACCAAGTTATTTTTCCAAAAGGACTATTTGGAAAACACTCCAAAGGCAGGGCTAGGAAAAGAATTAATAGCTTTTAGCACTTTATATATACCTCTGTTGCACTTAGCACATTTCCATTGTTTGTTTATATGTTAATTTCCTTTCTATAAAGTATAACTTTCTGAATTCAGATATTCTGGGGTTTGTTTTAATCTCTTCAGCATCCTCAGCAGAGTCTAATAAATATTTGCCAAATTAAATCAGCAGTAGATTCAAAGGGGAAAAAAAGAACTCTTATTTTATGAGACCTACTCTGTGCCAGGCTCTTTATAATACAGAATCACTGATGCTTACAATGACCCTGCAGGGCACTTAACATTATTTATATTTTCTAGGTAATGAAACATTAAATTACTATAGACCAAAAATTACAACAGTAACAAATAAACATGGCACCAGGCAATCAAACCTGAATATGTTCTTCTAGAGGAGAAGGTTGCCTCCCCTAGAAACAGCAGGTAAAGTACAGGTAGAGAAAAAGTGCTAAGTGGGTAGGCTGATAAGAATCGGAGGGGAGATGCTTAGGGAGGGCTGGGAACTATATGCTGACTCAATTAGTATTAAATCTTATGATCAGAGTGAACTGGAATGGGAGCTGCAGCTGTATTTTCCCTTTGAAATCAACTACCCCTACAAAGGAGTAGCAACATTTAAGTTGCCCTAAAGAAGGCTCCCACTCCGGTTTAATAACTGGTAGAGAGCCATTTCTATTAGCCACAGGGAGTTCATTATACAATTTAAATCCAGCCAAAGAATGGACAACAAAGATTTCAAAAGGAAAACAGTAGAATTTGAGGATACTGATCAGGAAAATAACTCCCAGGGCAAGAGGAGAGAAGAGATGACCAGTGAAAGCTGAAGGAATCACCTACAAATCTATAAACATCAACTGTAAATACACCACCATATGGAAAACTGCACTCTGGGACTTGCCT